GTCCTCCATCCTACGGCCATGAAACCACCGCTCCTCAAGATTTGCTTTCTGTTTTACTCCCACTCTGAGGCCAGTCTCCTCTCCAGCTCAGCCAGTTTTGCTGTGCTGTCGTGCCTGGACAAGCAGCTCCGTCACTTCATCCCAGTGGTGCCCCTCGGTGTGATGAGTCTCATCTCCCATGTGCAACCAAGGACTGCTCCGGGCCCGTCTGCCTGGGAGTCACCACAGAAACAGGAACTATTGTCCCCAAAGCGGTGCTTGGGAAGCCCTGCCGTGGTTTAGCTAACCTACATTCAGCCCTGAATTAGCTGGTGAGGGAATCCGGGGATGCCGATCATAGGTGATCCTGCACGTGGCACGAGTGACGGTATGTTCCCTCTGCCGGGCAATAAGGACTGAGAAAACAGCCCCATGATGTTGTGTTTAATGATGTTCCCAGAGCCCCACTTGAGTCTTTCTGACAGGCTTGGGGGGCCAGGGGAAGTGCAGACTCCTTCCCACCTGCTCACAATACAGACAAGGAACATGTCATCCTGTGAGAACCTCTTGAAGCCTGTGCGAACCTCATGAAGTTCAACGAGGCCAAGTGCAAGGTCCTGCACGTGGGTCGGGGCAATCCCAAGCACAAGTACAGGCTGGGTGGAGAATGGATGGAGAGCAGCCCTGAGGAGAAGAATTTGGAGGTGCTGGTTGATGAGAAGCTCAACATGAGCCGGCACCGTGCACTGGCAGCCCAGAGAGCCAACCGTGCCCTGGGCTGCATCCAGAGCAGCGTGGGCAGCAGGGCGGGGGAGGGGATTCTGCCCCTCTGCTCTGCTCTTGGGAGACCCCCCCTGCAGTGCTGTGTTCAGCTCTGGGGTCCCCAACATCAGAAGGACATGGAGCTGTTGGAGCGGGTCCAGAGGAGGCCACGAAGATGATCTGAGGGCTGGAGCACCTCTGCTATGGAGATAGGGTGAGAGAGTTGGGGTTGTTCAGCTTGGAGAAGAGAAGGCTTCTGGGAGACCTTCCAGCAGCCTCCCAGTACCTAAAGGGGCTACAGGAAAGCTGGAGAGGGACTTTGGACAAGGGCCTGTAGTGATGGCACAGGGCAATGGCTTTAACCTGAAATAGGGGAGATTTAGATCGGATCTAAGGAAGAACTTCTTGACTCTAAGGGTGGTGAGGCACTGGACCAGGTTGTCCAGAGAAGTTGCGGGTGCCCCATCCCTGGAGGCGTTCAAGGCCAGGTTAGATGAGGCTTTGAGGAACCTGATCTAGTGGAAGGTGCCCCTGCACCTGGCAAGATATAGGAACAAGTGAACACAAGTCAGAGCTGCAGACGGGTCATGATCAGGGATCAGTCAGCCTTGCAGATCCCCCTGGGGCTCGGAGTGGTGCCAGAGCTCCACGTTCCTAGCAGAGCATGATGCAAGGCTTGGTGCAGCACAGCACCCAGCACAACTGGCTCCTGCAAGGGTCTCCTGAGGACGTGGCTCCTCGTGCGGAGCTCCGTGCCAGGGCGGTGGCAGCCTGCGAGGTGCTCGCGTACCTCCAGACACTGCCTGCTCCTGGGCTGTACCTGCACGCAGGTCTCCCGGCTCTCCCTTCCCTGCTCAGATGTACCCGCACTGCTCCCCTGCCCACATAGTTTGGATTCTTGGACACCTCTGGCTCAGGGCAATGATGTAGGCTCGTGGGTTTGGATACAGCAAATTGTTTCAGGATGGATCTGAGGTTTTTCTACATCCTGGATGAGGTGGGATTGACACAGGTTTGGTGATGTTTCATCCAGCTCCCAAAACAACCTGGTTTCCTTCCTGGCAGAAGAGCTGCTGCCAGCCTGGAGCGGTGCATGAAGTTGCAGTACGGGTCGGGCTGCTCTGGGCACGTGTCATCACCCTCATCTCTGCCTGCAAGACTGAGATGTCTCTTAACCACCCAAATCCAGGAGGGAGCTGCAGTGGTCCATGGCTCTTCCCTACTCTGGAGGAAGTTTGGATGCAACCCACTGCCCCATACTTTCCATCCTCTCTTCCTGTATGTCCCAAGGACCCTTCTGTTCCTTCAGGCAGGGCATGTGCCCAGGGGACTCTGGTAACAGTCCCTAGGCAGTTGATTCCATCTCCACGTCACAGCCTCAGGAAGCCCAAGTCTGCGTTTCTCGCAGAGCGGTGCCCCATTTCAGATGAAGCAATCAAGACACTCCTCCACTTGGGAAAGAAAAAGACGCTATTTTTAAGACGGCTTTGATTGCCAAAACGTCCGCAGGGCAAATGGCAGCCTCTTACGGGGGTCAGGGTTCACCTTGAAGACCTTGCTGGGAAAAGCAGCAGCTTTCCACACCTCCAGGCTGCTTCTCTGTGCTGTGATGACTATCGTATGTGTTGGGGGAAACACCGATTGAGGGCACATCGCCTTTGTAATCTTAAATCACATGTCTCCTTATCACCTTGCAGCCAGAAAACAGTGGATCTGCTGGATTTGGATCCAGCATGATCACAGGATCCCAACTGCCAAATTAGAGCACAAGAAGAGGTTTCTGGACAGCTCTGTGCTTTCGCTGGAGGCTGAGGGACAGCCTGTCCCAGATGTGCAGTTAGAGCAAGCACAGCTGGCCAGGTATCTACCAGCTTAGAGTTTCTGCTGGTGGCTGCAGCATTTTTGACCCAAATCCAGACTTATCCTCACACCGAATCGTGATGTTGCCTTTGAATAAATCCTTTGGATGGGTCGCTGAGGGCGGGAGGTGACCCATGTGGGAGGCACTGCTTCCCCTGCCAGACCCATGGCCCCGCTCTGTACAGGCAGGCAGCAGATCTGGGCAAGCCCGGCCCCTCCATGGGTGTCCTCTCTTCCATTCTCACCACTGCCAGGTCTTAAAAGTCCAGCCCTGTTAGTCCCACT